ATATATATATGTATGTTTAGATGTTCATCATAGAAGGTTCACTCACTTATGTGTCTCGACATATCAAGCAACGTATTTGCTCGAATATTTATTTCTCCCCACACCTATAGCTATGAGTATTAATGACTACTGCTATGCTATCTATATTTTTGTTCGTATATACATTTACCATTGTCTAGGTTTGAACATGTATTTATCTGGAATCAGTCTTGTGTGTGACAATATCTGGATAGGACTGACTTATGATTTGTCTTCTGTCTGCGCACCAGCCTTTGTATATTTATATGGTGACATCAGATACGACTACGATGCCTGGTAAGCATATTCATTTGCAATTTTGCTGTCTCTTCACCTCCACCCGCAGATTGTCGCCCTCGAAGCTTGCCGCATACTTACATGGTTGAGTACCGAGTTTTATACTTCCTCCATCACAAACATATACCACAAACGACTATTGGCACACCACACACAAAGTTTTAGGGGATAGTCAAGAGAACACAATCGCTCGGCACGTGCGTGTTTGCTTATTTAAGTTGCCAAGGCTTTTGAAATTGTATGTCTGAGTTATCTCAAGTCCATCTCACTATCTCAGATCGATTCAATGAGATAGTATACATCATTCGATCAAATGTGAACGTTCTATTTTTGTTTGAAACCATTCGCAGTTCGTCGTCGAAGAGAAGTTCTTGGGCCAATACCACGCGCCCGCTCTGCAGGCGGTCGGTCTTGAGGGGTTCTGGGGTGTAGCTATCCTATGCGTGATACTTCCCATCCTGCAGTTTGTACACAAGGGGAATGGTGAGGTGGTCGAGAACACAGTGGATGCCTGGGTGCAATGCACCAACAGTTGGCAGCTGGTTGTGGGTAATCTAGGGAGTATCTTCAGCATCGCCTTTTTCAACTTCTTCGGCATCTCAGTAACGAAGCAATTATCGGCCACCCATCGCACAACTATCGACAGTTGCAGAACTATTCTCATCTGGGGTGTGTCCATGGCTCTAGGATGGGAGGAGTTCAACTCATTGCAGCTGCTAGGGTTTTTCTTCTTGGTTATAGGTAAGCAGTTCGATGATAGAAGGTTGCTGATTAATCAAACTTGCAAGGTTACCCGTATATAGCTTCTTTGATGGATTCCTTTCTCACGCACATACGCATGTATATAGTATGCGATACAGATCATCTTGTTATAATATAAACTCGATTGTGTTTTATGGATGATGAATAAATAAGTAGAGTTTTTGAGAAACAACGCTCTGCTAAGTCCATGTGCGGCCACGCGCACGGTGCGAACCGTGTGAAAACCGGTTGTGGAGGCACGCTCGCATATATTGCAATTATTGTTCCAAGCCATTCTATCCTGAAGAGTCGCGGTCAGATGTTTGTCGCGTGGTGATCCTCTCTAGTATCGCGGAAGGCTTTCCAAACACCTATTAAACTTACTGGTACTTTAATACACAGGTACATTCATATACAACGAGGTTATCAAGCTGCCAGGCATGTGCATGCGTGGCGAGCAAGCATTCTTGGAAGCAGAACGGAAGGTGACGGCCGAAGAACGCCGCAACCTATTAGGAAGTCCCTACAGTCTCAATGCTTACGAAGAAGGGTATGTCAAGTTCTTGGTTAAAATTTTGTTGCTCGCAAACACAGTCTATGTTTATTCAATTGGTATTCTCATTCGCACCTGATGCGAAAAGTCTATTGTAATGTTAAATCCGCAAAACTTAGATATGAAAAAGGGGAGTATCTCATACGGTAATATTGGATGATACGAATACAGATTTCTGCATTGGTATTGGGTACATGACTACTGAAGAGTGGTTAGAAGTAAATGCAATATAATGCGGCAAACAACTTGTACAAATATGATATACAAAACTAAAACATCCCCATTTATTTGAATGAATTTGTAACAATATTGGCCTTTAACGAAGAATAGAACATTGTTCTCATGCGCAAAGCTATTTTTCTACGAGGCATATACATGTTCATA